GACCCACGCTGCTACAAAATCCACGGGCAGAAGGGTTTCTATCCTCAAGCCAAGCTGAAGTCAGTACCTGTGGTGGTAAACAGGACAGGACTGGTCTCCAGGACTAACCAAAACGGCCCTGCTGGGGCAGGGCAAGAGGTTTAACCAAACCAAAGGATTTTCTCGTCATTCTGCAACATTACACTGCAGCACATTTAGGAGCTCTGGAGGTCAGAAGCTGAGACACACACACAGAGGATAGCACTGTTCAGCTATTAAATACCACGGGCCAGATGTATGTTCTGGGTCAGGATGTCTCTACACGACCGATTGCCAGAAACTGTGAGGATGTATCTGGATAAGGCTTGTCCAAAACATGCGGTATTCCCTGTGCAGGTCCAGGACCTCTGCTCTGAGTCTCGCTGGGGAGAGCTGGGCTGACCCCATGTGGTCACGGCCTTGTTATGGCATGATTTTACTTTTTAAAAGTCACGACTTTTCACAGTTACTTAGGTAAAATGCAAAATCTACCTCGCATCTGTAAAATCTTTCCAGGAAGGAAAAGGCACCATGGAGGGAGTTAAGCTAAACCCTCGTCTGTCATTTTTCACCCAGTGGAAATGTGACTGCACTCCCAGTTTCCCCGTTTAACCAGTCAAAGCAGCACTTCCCAGTTTCTTTTCATGCACAGAAGCAAGATATGGTGTTCATTTTTTAGCATGGATGGAACCTTCCCAGTCCTCTTAATCCCTCAAAACAAAGGAAACAGAGAAGGGACAGGAGGGGAAAGCTCACACCCAGTTCATGCCTTTTCCTTGCAATAAAAGGTCAATAGTCACGGTGATTCACCCGCGAAGCCCCCAGCCCTGGCTCTGCTGGACAAGCTTGGGGCGAGCATCGCCCCCAGACTTTGGGTGTGCCTGAGCCCAGGGGGGTTGGCGTGTGTCATCTGGTCACTCCGGCCTGAAGAAGTAAAAACTAAGTAATGTTGATTGTTTCCATGGTAACAGAGAGTGATTCATTCTGAGGGTAAAGTAACAGGGGGAAGAAACATGGAAAATGAAAATCATGTCTCAGAAGCACATTGTATAATTATCTTGTTCAGCAGGCCTCCTGCTACATGCATGCCTTTTATAAAACAGTCTCTCAAGATGATCTCCAAGTTGATTGTCTTTTTTATTGAAAAGGAAGAAAAACCCTCACTCGTGCACCCTGCCAGCCTTGGAGGCTGAACAAGACCCATCCCAGCACAGGACAGCAGGGGACCAAGGGGAGTGATGGAGCCTCCAAAAATAATCCCCCAGAGATTAAAATTATCAAAGCGAGGGATGCTTTCATGGTGAAAGCTGCTGCCACCTGCAATTCCTCAGGAAAAAGAAGAACCTTTGTTTAGCCCTTTCACCCCTCCGCAGGTACCCACGAGCCCCTCCTGGGCTGTGGCCAGCTCTGGATTAAAGTGAGCAGCCCTCCAAAGCCACCAAGCAGCTTCCCAGAGGAACTCCAGAGGCCAAACCCCAGTGAAAACACAGGGAAACGTATGCAGAGCAGCCAGCAATTACACCCTGCAAGCTGCCTAGTGATCCGCTGCTTCTGAAAAGCGTCGTAGGGATCTTCACCGACCTCATGTGGTCTGGGCCTCAGTTTTACCTTTCTCCCAGAACCAAGTCCTGCAGTCAGCCCCCCCAAAATAGGGAAAGCTTTACAGGAAAGGCAGCTGGCTGAAAAAAAAAATACCTGCCAAGCTGTAAAGAGAAAGCAGGCACGGATGAGAGGAAGCTGCGATCCAGCAACCCACCCTCCTGCACCGCGCTGCCAGGAGCAGGGCTCCTCATGCCCCACTAAAGGAGAAATCATTCCCTTTGCCGAGGGACACTGCCCGCTCCCCAGCCACCCGCCTCGCTCCTGGGGGGATGCCAGTTCGGGGAGGCGAAGGGATTTTCTTTCAGGCGTCAAAACCCTGTCAGGGCAAACGCCTCAGCCTTCACGCCCCTGAGGCTCGGCCGGCCTCGCTGGCCTTCGTCCTTCCTCCCGCCGACCCCATCGGGGCCACTGCCAGGGTGAAACGGCCCTTCAGGTCGGGGAGAGGAGGGAAGGGCGACGGGGCAGGGGGGTGCTCCGCGGGAACGCCGAGGCCGGGCAGCGGCAGCGACGCCCGCCCGCCGCCCGCCATTTTACCCCGGCTCCACGATCGAGAGCGCGACGCGCGACAAGAGGCGGGGCCTCTTCCAGAGAGGGGGCGCGGTCACACCGCCCACCGTCCAATCCTTGCACGGGGGCGGGGCTGTTCCCGAAAGTCGCCGGGCCGGCGTGGGGGTGGCCCGGAGATCCGAGCTTTCGGAGATGGGGCGGGGCCGGCGGGTGGCGATTGGTTGCGCGCTGGCGTGCGTGCGTGCCGGGTCCCGCCTCCTCCCCCCCTGCCACGTCCGTGCGGCGCCTGCGGCGGAGCCGGTGCGGG